TGGTGTATCGGGTGAAGAGGGAGGTGTTGGAAGCGAAGAAGGAGGTGGAGGGGTGGGAGGGAAGGGTGGAGGAGGTGAGGAGGGCGGTGGTGGAAAGGGGGGAGGTGGGGATGGAGGAGAAGATGTGGGCGCTGGGAAGGGCGAGGGATGAGTTGATTGGGTGGATTGAAGGGGAGTTGGCGAAGGTGCCTGAAGCGGACGGGGAGACCGATGACGATGGGCGTCTGGGAGCTACGGGCGGGCAGCTGGAGAACGATCCTGTTCCATCGAACGAGCAGATCGACGCGGCGTACGAACACTATCTTGAATCACGAAGAGCCTTACTCAAAACGATGGCATCTATTCCATCACTCGACCTCCCCACAGAGCAACCACCTCCCCAACCCCTCTCCCAACTCCCGCAACCATCCACTAAACCGGCTCCGCTCCAATCTCACCACATCCTCCCCCACCTCCCCGCCCTACTCAGCTGCGTCGACGACGAACGCGACCTAATGCAACAAACCGCGTACCTCCGCCGCCGCCTCGCGGCCGGCGCGGACGAGAACGCCAAAATTGTCGATCGCCTCGCCGGGGAGAGCTATCTGCTGCAGGACGCGAATGCGATGGAGATATCCATGGCGTCATGGGCAGAGGCGTCGGCGGCGAAGCGGGAAGAGCTGGAGCGGTTTCTCGATGAGAATTTTCGGGCGGGGGAGAGCGGGTTGCGGAATGCGGAGGAGGTATTGCGGCGGATGGAGGGGAGGAAACAGGCGTGGGAAGAGATCAAAGGTGATGTATGAGTCACGGGTATGGCTATGGTGCAGTAGAAAACTTCAAAACGACTTCGCTGGAGGGTATCTGGTACATGCGTGACAAACATGACGCGGTCACTCGCACAATGCTTCAACTGAACTTCTGCACCCTCGCTTCCAGATCTTTCACCCATCCGCCCACGACATCCATGTTCTCCTTCAACACGCCCTCGCCATCTTTCAGTGCCTCCTTCACCTTGTCCAACGCCTCTCTCCATGCCTTGATCTCCGCCTCCTGCTCCTGCTGCCGCGTCCGCATCTCATCCAGCGTCGTGCTCGCATCGCCGGCCGACGCGTGGATGAGCCGCAGTGACCGGAGCCGCTCGACGACGAGTGGAAGCGTTGGTGCCATGGATTCGATGGCGGGGAGGGCGGAGTAAAGCGCTTTGATGGCTTCGGCATTGGTAGGGTCGTCCAGGTAGGATTGCGCAGCGTCGGCGGATGGCGTGCCATTCGCCTTCGATCCACCCGTCGAGTTGATTTTGATTTTGGATGTAGCTTCATCCTCGACCTCGATTTCTCGGCGTTGACGTTGGAGGTCCTGGAGTCGTCGCGCGGCGGTCTCGTAGGTCGATGGAGCATTCGCGATGATCGAGAGCTGCTGGTCGAGGCTCTCGATCGTCTTCAAAACGGGGTCCTGGGGGACCAGGTCTTGCGGCGTCGAGCTGGAGACGCCTAATGAGGTTTCCAGCTGGGCAAGCCGGCTGTCGAATTCGGCCGCTTTGGCTAGGATCTCGCTCAAATTGCGATCATACTGAGCAGCTGCAGGTGTTTTGGTCATCCCCATCCGTTCTCCGTTCGCCACTAAGCCATTGGCATCGTGTAATGCTGGAGCCGCGCCCAAGGGTCTGCTCAATACGCTGGCGAGCTGTGTTTCAGCGCTGCTTGATCTCCCGCCTTGTGTGTAGACGGAATCCAGCATCTGACTGAGCTTAGCGATTTCGGAGGCTGCATCAACATCATGATCTTCGGGGGATGTCTGTTCGTTCTGCTCGCACTCCGCCTTCGCCTCTTCGATTTCTTGTCGTAGCCGCCGGAGTTTCCTTTGAAGGCTTTCCTCCTCACTCTCATCATCCGATGGATAACCGGAGTGTTTTCGGGTTACTCGATTTGCGGTTCGATACGAACCTTTCTTGCGTCGGATACGGTCTGAGAAATCGGCTTTGCGCGCATCGACCTTGCTCGATCCAAATCGTAATCGAGCGTCGTCGGTCTTGAGCCTCCTTCGATCCACACCCGATTCGACGCCCTCGGAATCTTCGTCATATGATGATTCGCCGGATGACCTTTCTGTTGTTGAAGCCTAGGCATGTGTAAGTCTTCACCCAGGAGCTCTTTATATATACATGTATGCGCTCACCTGGGTTGTGGATACATCATCGGTCAATCCGGGCGTTTCGTATACGTCTGGTGCAGAATCCTTGACGGGTCAGACATGGAGCTTCAAACGGTCTACAGTACTCAGAAAGAGACGAATTAATCATACTAGGTCTGGTAGATTCGCGTACTTGCGTATTTGTGTCATGTTTGCGACCTCAGGAAGGAATGGGAACACTCTCTACGATCTGTTGCTCGCGTAGGTGTTGGCCAGCAGCTTCTCTAGGATTCAACGGTAGCAGCAAGCCAATAAACGTCATTCCAATCATCCGATATGACCCAAAGATGTATGTTCCGTGCTGGTCACCGTGGAGGTCAACACATGTGTGCGGTGTCCAAGACGCTGGTAGTGTGGAGGTGGACTCAATGTAGTTGGAGCGTCATGTGATTTGAATCGTCGGTTGAAATCGATATCTCCAGATCGGGAGATAAAGCAAGGAGGAGAGGCAAGGGAGAGTAGAGAACACCGGGCCAGAAGTTCTTGTGCAATGCATGAATCCTGATTCCGAATTACCTACTATTACAGCTTATTCCCATATTCGAGGATTCGAGGTTCAAACGGTTAGCGTAACCTCTTCAAATCTCGCCGGCTGATTCGCTGGCTTCTTCTCAGCCATCGCTCCCTCTTACGGTTTCACTTCATCTCGACTCGCCATATCAGAGCCAACCATCCTCGACGATTAATTGAACGACTCAATCTGTGCATTATCAGTCTTTTATAGATGGTCGCAGCTCTGTAATGACGTCAGAACATCTTTCTATCCACTTTGCGGTTGAGAAATGAAAGGTGCCCCTGATCAATCTCATCTCATCAAATGGTGTCCATCCACGACGATTCGGCTCGCAATGGGCAACCGGCCTCCACTTCATCGTTTCTGCTGGATCCATCCGGAAACCTTCAGACCACCTTGTTTGGAGAGGTTCCGTCCAACAATTCTTCCGATATAAAAGCTGCGCTGGGCGTGGGGCAAGGGCCATATGGGTTTTTCAATGAAAGCAGACCCTATCCATCATATAGCGAGTCACAGCAATCATCGATTATCGGTGGAGACGGGCATGTTACTCCAAATACGTCCGATACTCATCTGAGTATCAAGACAGAATCCCAAAAGGCTCCGTCGCCGAGTCAAAATGGCTATCATATCAATGGCACTCAGAGCTTGGACCGTCAGTCGGAATCACGACCAATTGATACTGTCGAAGGCGCTACAAACAATGGGATATCAACCTCCACGAAGAAGCTGCCCACTCTCAAGATACGAAATCCATTATTTCGAACGCAATTCGATGCGACCACGCCCGCCAAAGCCCCGGTGCAGAAATTCACCCCATCTACAGGCACATCTCCTGATATTCATCACACCGGAAATTTTACTTCAACACAAAGCGCCAGCCCGTCATCAACGTTACCTAACTATGCGAATAATTCAACTCCAAGGAAACGCATCAGGCTTGATGAAGAACCGTCGAGTCGCAGGGCATCAATGAAAACGGCTGAAATCTCCCAGCACCGAGCCAAGATTAGCATACCTGCAAATGTCCCAAGCGAGGAGTATGCCAGGCAGTGTATATTTGCAGCATCATGGTCTAGGCTGAACCCATACGCCCTGCACCCTGGGGAGTACCGGATGTTGCGCCAGTATATTACTGGACCACAGGTAACGACTTACGTTAACATACGCAACGGAATCCTTCGACTGTGGGTCAGGAATCCAATGGTGTGCGTCTCAATAGAAGAGGCAGCTGGGTGTGCAAAAGAATCTCGCTTCTTCGGACTCGCATATACCGCCCACGAATGGCTCATCCGAAATGGCTACATCAACTTTGGATGCGTGAGATCACAATCGCCCTCGGTTCCGGCGCGACTCAAACCGTCGAAGCCTAGGGAGACGATCGCCATAATTGGAGCTGGCATGGCCGGACTGGCATGTGCTCGTCAGCTGGAAAATCTTTTCGAACACTTTTCTGAGCACTGGTACAAGCGAGGCGAATTCCCACCGAAGGTCACTATACTCGAGGGGAGGAATAGAATTGGCGGTCGAATATATTCGTTCCCACTCCATGCCACGGCCAACGGCACACATCCACCAGGATCACGGTGTACGGCGGAGATGGGCGCACAGATCGTCACCGGATTTGAGCGAGGCAATCCGCTCAACGCGATTATTCGAGGCCAACTCGGACTACACATGCATGCGATCAAGGAAGGTACAGTGTTATACGACATTGATGGGTCCACCGTGGATAAGCAGACCGATGATCGAGTGGAAGGTCTATTCAACGACGTTCTGGAACGAGCGAGCAAGTTTCGAAATCAGGCCGTGCAAGCATTGACGCTTGAAGGTGACATCAAGTTGATAGAGGCTGGAAAAGATCCTACGACCGACGGAGGCGAGTTTATTTCAGTCTTGGAGTCGAGAGGCGAGCCTGTCAATGTCGTTGCGTCGCAAGGCCGGCCCAAGAAGAATAGACAAACAAACGCCCCCGTGACGATGGAGAAACTGACCGGAAGATCATATCAAGCGACCGAGACAAAGGATTTGCTTGCTGCAGCTGCTGCCGAAAAACTCGGATTCAACCTCACAGCTGGAGTCTCGAAGTTGTCGACGCTGCAACTGGAGCAAAAGGCGCAAGAGCACATGTCAAACCTGGGCGATGTGATGGACGAAGCATGCAGACAATACCAAGACATGATGAATCTGACCGAGCAAGATTTACGGTTATTGAATTGGCACTACGCCAACCTCGAGTATGCGAGCGCCGCCCCTGTTGGATCCTTGAGTCTTACAGGCTGGGACCAAGACTCCGGTAACGAGTTCGAAGGCGAGCATACTGAGGTCATTGGAGGATACACGCAAGTCCCGCGTGGCCTCTACCTGTTCCCAACACCTCTGGATGTCAAACTCGGGCGCTGTGTCGAAACTATCGAGTATCACGCGTCGACTGCTACAACGGAAGGCTGCGCTACAGTTACTTGCAGCGATGGAGAATCAATCCGTGCGGATCGAGTCGTTCTGACTGCGCCGTTGGGCGTGCTAAAGGCCGGAACGATTAAGTTTGAGCCGCAGCTACCGGATTGGAAGCTCGATTGCATTGATCGAATGGGTTTCGGACTGCTTAATAAGGTAAGATAACCAAATCCGATTTGATCGACCCCTCTAACTCGAATCAGCTTGTTCTTGTCTACGATACGCCCTTCTGGGAACAGGATCGAGATATGTTCGGTCTCCTACACGAGTCTATCATTCCACAAAGTCGTAACATGAAGGACTACGCAGCACAAAGGGGTCTCTTCTACATATTCTGGAATACAATGAAGACCAGCGGAGCACCAACTTTGGTTGCGATGATGGCAGGCAACTCGGCTTACGCGGTCGAAAACGTCACGGATGCACAGCTCGTCGACGAGGCTCAAACCAGCCTTTCAAAAATCTTCGGGCAGATTCCGAAACCAAAAGAGACCGTCATCACGCGATGGAGGAAGGATCCGTTTGCTCGAGGCTCATATTCCTACGTAGGACCGAACACCCGATCGGACGACTACGAGAATATGGCGACGTCGGTAGGTCAGATTCATTTCGCAGGCGAAGCAACCTGTGGAACCCATCCCGCCACCGTGCATGGCGCATACCTTTCCGGTCTCCGAGCTGCGTGCGAGGTGATCGAGACCTTCATCGGCCCCATGGATCCCGGCCAGCCACTGGTTGGGACGAAACTGCGACAGAGCAGCACCGACGGCACGCCGACCCAAGCCGTCAAGCGACCCATGGCCGATGCCGTGCAGATCCCTGAACGGCAAAGCCGTGCCGAAATGAACAAAGCTTGGGAAAACGGGCTGAACCAGAAGATCCAGGATGCGATTGGCGCGCGGCCGCTGAAGCCCATCCGCGCCGGCACGAACCCGTTTCTCCTCTGGCAGCGCGACCAGTGGCAGGCGGCGAAGAATAAATGCGACGACGCGAAGCGGGCGAGGCATCCCAAGGATCTGAAGGCGAAGGCGGGGAAGGACGATATCCGGAAGGAGCTGGGGCGGTCGTGGATGGGTGCGTCGGCGGAGGAGAAGAAGCCGTACTATGCCATGACCGAGGTGGCGCGGGAGCAGAGTAAGAAGTGGCACGCGGATTTCAAGGAGCTGATTGAGAAGTGGGATCGGGATGCGGAGGTGATTAAGAAGGCGTATACGGAGGAGAATCCGCTGTCCGAATGGGCGGTCGGCTATGGGTTGTGATCTGGAGGAGCATTTTCAAGGTATCACTTGAACTGGCATTATTATTATCATCCTATGGCCGATGGGTAGCATTTCAAGGGCGCAAGGTAGGGCAGGCAAACTACTTGCATGCATACACCAGGAGTACATGTATTCAATTGCTATTCACACGCTTCGACGCTTGGGATTCGCCCAATCCCGAGTACATATCTTCAAGCCCGAATTCTCTGCCACTGTATTTGAAAGGTTTCTCAGAATCTACCCGATTGTGGGAATTATACTGTGGTCAACACCGATGCGTTCTGGTACCAGCCGAGGAGCGGATTCTCGCCGTTCTTCGTCTGCGTATCCTCCACGTACGCCCACCGCCTCATAAAGTCCTCGTGGGGATAGACACGGGTCAACTTGCCCGTGATCGCGCGATACACATCTTCCATGACCGCGAAGTCGGTCGGGAAGAGGATGTCGAAGTACCCTTGATGGACCTATGGAAGACTGGGGTTAGTTGCGCGAGATTCTTCGTCGGGAATGGAATGCTTACCAAAGGGGTGGTGACTGGCACGGTCCGACGCTTGTATCGCGTCTGCACCACGGGCGCGTTGATCCCCGGAGTCGCGTCCGGCAGGCTATGGAAATCGCTCGTGACAAGCCTATGGCCCGGGAAGTACCGATGTAAAATATCGAAGAACTGCATCAGCCGCGTGGGGATGTATTCCGCCGCCGTCAGGTTCATGACGAGAGGGAGGCTATGGTACAGCTTTTGCAGCGCGCGCGGCGATTTCAAAGGATGGCTGTACGGCGAGGAGACGGCAGCGTTTCGCACGCGGAGATACCGGGCGGCGATCGGGTCCAATTGGCGGCTGTAGAACTCGTAGAAGTCGCCCTCATGGTCGATGAGGACGCTGCCTTGCAGCGCTTCGTCGGTGTACGGGTCGTATCGGATGGCGTCGTGCGCGAAGTTGTCGAACACCTCCAGGGCGATGAAGAAGCACGGCGACGACACGTAGGTGTCCCAATCGAAAATGGACTTGTTGATGATCTCCACCTTGTCCAGATGACCGGCCGCGTGCGCGGATTGTCGCAGCTGGTGTAGTTGCAACGACGCCAGGGACGAGGAAATTTCGATGACCTTATATCTCGTGCATTCGTAGACTTCCGGGTGCATCTCGCGGAGGTAGTCCAGGATATTGAGCATCATCGTGCCGTTTCCGGCTCCCATTTCGTAGATCAGGAGGTCGTGGTATGGGTAGAGTGAGAGCTTGTAGTTCGTGACGAGGTATCGGGCAATGGCTTCGCCATAGTACGGTCGGAATAGTTCGGTCGGCGTATGCCACAGCTGTCTTGTCTCATTCTCCTCCTGATTATCCAACGCATCCTCGAACTCAGTGTAGCGGACGCCGAGCTCCTTCTGGAATTCCGCTTCGCCTTTCAATACACCGAAATCAAAAGGAGCACCGGGCGTGAATATCACGGCTTGCTTCGGAAAGTAGCCATAATGGGGGTTGTATAAGGAATCTTCGGCAGAGTTAGATCTTGAGCTTCTTCCCTAGCGTATTGACCCTTACCATCAATGAAGTCCCTCATCAACATCTTCACCCGCTTTGGCCGCTGCCTCGAGCTCTTGAGTTGCTCGGCCGTGACCCATGGATATCGATTGAACTCCTCCGTTCGATCGGGAGGCAACAACAGACTCCGCTGCGACCAATCGCCCTTGTCCTTTTCCTGCGGCTTCCTAGGAACAGCTCCATAGCGGACGGTTCTGTAGAGTTGCGGCGATGCTCCGCCTGGCGCTCGTGGCCGTCGGGCAGCCCTCAGTGATGAGCATGTCTCATGAGCGAATAGTCGCCGAAATATTCGGCTAACCAAGGGGGAATCCATGCGGAGCAAGAAGGTATTCCCGTAGGCGTAATACGGATGGGATGGATGGAGGTGAAGCATCTCAAGACCCTGTCGTCTGAATTTGCTCCTAGAAGGGACGAGAGCTTTGACCAATCGTCATCATAACTCGAAAGCTCAAACTTCAATGGTTAACTTCGGCTTGTCGTACTTTGTAGAAACAAACTGAGAAACAAACTTCGTGAAGAAAATGTGCGGGAATATGATTTCCGGGCGACCGTAGCCTAAATATATCATTCTCACTTTCGCTGCCTCCAATGGCCTCCTTGCGATGCAGACCAAGTATCAGCTCTACATCGGCGCGTCCGTCCTTGCGGGCGTGCTTCTCACTCTTGGATTCAAGGACGTATATCCGGATCTAGAACGGCGATATCGACAAAGAAAACGGCGTGCTTCGGTCGTTCGTGATGCACCGACTCCAAGTGCAAAACGGAGACTGTCTCTGAGGGACAATACTTCCCGCTCTCGGTCCCTTGCCCCCGGTGGTCCCATTCCCGAAGGCGTCGAAGGTCTGATCGGAAATACTCCACTGTTCAAAATCAAGTCTCTATCCGACGAAACCGGCTGTGAGATCCTAGCAAAAGCAGAGTTCCTGAACGGGGCGGGAAACAGCCCCAAAGATCGCGTGGCGCTCAGCATCATCCAAATCGCCGAAGAGGACGGCCTCATCTCGCCGGACTCGGGCGACACGATCTACGAAGGCACGGTCGGGAGCACGGGCATATCGCTGGCGGCGATATGCCGCGCGAAAGGATACCTCGCGCACATCTGCATGCCGGACGACCAAGCGGAGGAGAAGTACTCCCTCCTGCTGAAGCTGGGGGCCGTGGTGGACAAGGTCCGACCGGCGCCGATTGTCGATCCAAACCATTTCGTCAATCGCGCCAGGTCGCTGGCGGAGGCGCACACTAACGACCCGGAGAAACGTGGGAGAGGGATCTTCGCGGATCAATTCGAGACGGATGCGAACTGGATGGCGCATTTCAACGGAACAGGACCGGAGATCTATGAGCAAACGACTGGCCGACTGGATGCGTTCGTCACGGGGGCGGGTACAGGCGGTACCATTTCCGGGGTGGCTCGGTATCTCAAACCACGAATTGAGCGCCTGAAGGTAGTTCTGGCGGATCCTCAAGGAAGTGGTCTCTATAATCGGATCAAGTTCGGGGTCATGTTCGATCCGAAGGAGCGGGAAGGGACGCGGCGACGACACCAGGTGGACACGATCGTGGAGGGCATTGGCATCAACCGGGTGACGAGGAACCTGGAAGCTGGACGACAGCTCATCGATGATGCGGTGCGGGTCACGGACGCGCAGGCGTCGGCGATGGGACGCTGGCTGGTGGAGAAGGATGGCTTGTTCGTCGGGAGCAGCAGCGCGGTGAACTGTAAGCATGGGATCAGGAATGGCGGGATCGTGGCTAATATCTCCGTAGGTGTTGCGGCTACGAAAGTGGCACGTCAATTAGGTCCTGGCCACACAATTGTTACGATACTATGCGATTCAGGTCAGTTTAGTCCGTTGTTGAAAAGGACTCAATTGACACATCTCCAGGCACGAGACATCTGAGCAAGTTTTGGGCAAAGGCTGGAGATATTGGCGGGTCAAACGAGATGACACTCGATGCCGTCCTTACTGCCAGCGATTCCTGATCGGATTTATCTATCTAACGACTTGGCAATTGTACAGTTCGTTGGGCATGTATCAACACGCTTGTTTGAGATACCCATGTGAATAGTTCATCCTCTGATCCGATTCGCACACTGCATGATCGGATAACATGGGACTTCCATAAACATACCATTACTAAACTTGTCCATGCCTCTTTCTATCCCTTCGAGGGAAAAGCCCGAGGCATGGTTTCTCGTAAAACATATTCCAAAAGTGACGGACTAATCCGTCCTAGGATCGCAACTAAATATCCCACGATGAACGCTGTCATCAAGGGTTGCGATCCTGTGTAGTTGGCGTGTTGTTGCGCAGCGTCAACTTTGATGAGCATTATTTGTGAACGTCCTATCCTTGGCGTCGGGTAAGAAGGTCGTTTCATCCTTCCTGCAGGGCAATGTGAGCAACCAACGGACAAAGTTCTTAAGCCAGTTCATCTTCCGAACCAGAGAACTGCGGGAGTCTTGTTTTGCGTCTTGAATGACCACGAGTGATGGGGACGGGAGGGATATATTTCGGTGAGGGAGGCTCCAGTTCAACTTCCATAGATTCGGATCGGACATGCAAGGCGCTGGACGGTTGAGGGGCCTCTGATCGGAACAGCCTGTTTTCTTCGTCCTCGTGCGGGATATCCGGCACGTTCTCGACCTTGTCAGATAATTCATCGAAGGGGTTGTCATTGATCTCAACGTAATCCATTGCGCCGTCCAATGACGCGTACTTGAGGTTGCTAATGCCTTTGCGCATCCGAGATTGTACCGGTTGAAGAGCCCGTCGCGGACTAGATACCGTTCGTGCGGAATCATCGCACACTGCCGAAAGATTTTGAGATGCCGTGGTCGCGTTCGCCCAATCACTGATCTCGACACCTTCGTTCCGTTTAATGTCCGACGCATTCTTTTGATTAAACTGGGCCCACTTTTGATGCTGAAAGTCTGTCGCATCACTGGAACCGAGCGTATAGTATGGGTGTTGCGTGGCCGGCGAAATTAATTGGTGCTTGAACTGGTTGACCGAAGCCCTGTTGGAGAGAGGTGTGGCAGCGGAGACTTCGTCTGGCGTGTTGGGTGTCGATGGCGTTGCCGATGGTGTCTCTGTCGTATTGGAAGGGCGAGAAGCCGACGCAGAGCGTGATAAAGATTCTAGACTGGCCCGAATTGAGGGCTCTACAACCAATGCATCGACGCTATCTGGAGCAGGAGTTGGGTTCTGGGACAGAACACGAGGAACATCGGAAGTGTATGCTTCAGGGTCCTTTGGTGAAAGAATCGCGGCGATCTGATTTTTCATTGCTTGTTGGCCAAAGGTTGGAGGCAGCCCTTGCTCGTGAGGTACGTCATCGAATGCTCCTCGATGTCCGTGTTGGTGTATCTCGCTAGTCGGCGTAGGTAGTCGTCCATGGCGAGAGGGATTTAAGGTGGAAGGATTAATCCCCTGATCAGCTCGTGGCTGAAGTACTGAGATCTTATTGCCCCCAAAACGAGATGGATCTACAGGAACGGAAAAGCGACCTGTAGGTGGAAGATTCTTAGGAGCAGAGAGTAGATGGTTTGCTCCAACGTGCCCCTGCCACGGTTTACGAGAAATGTTAATGAATGCATTCCCCGGTCCGCCTTGCGATGAAGCACGAGAAGCCGGTCTGGAGACGGTCTCAGCAGCAGACACCGTTTGGAAAGAGGAAGCACGAGAAGCCGGTCTGGAGGTCTCAACAGCAGACTCCGTTTGCAAAGAGGAAGCAGTGCCCGGTCGTATGTAGGGAGAACATGGTATGCGATGAGTTCGCTGTTGGAGGTCGAAGTAATCAGTAGGGGTTGGGGCAGCGGCTGGCAGTCGAGGTGGTAGCAAATGAACCGGCGTTTTTCTCTGCGCCTCGAAGAATTGCGCCCGGCCAAATTCTTGATGATAAGAACTGTATGCGGTGGCATCACCCATACGTAGATCCGGAGCGAAAGGGTCCTTTGTTTCGCGTGACAGTATCAGGCGTGGGTCGGGGCCGGGCAGGCTATGGACCAGCGGAGAGAGCTTCGGTACGATCTTTCGCTCCCATGGTTTCCGTGGCTGCGTTGCCAGGAATTCGGGATCACATTGGGAGAATAGCACAGCGATATCCTCACTACGCGACAGCTGGTCCACAAGTCCTGCATCTAGGTTCTCGCCGTCCGCGCCCATTTTCTCTGATTCAATAGGAACTGTAAGTGTGCCCGGAAACGTCGATACGGATGCCCAGGCGCCGCCATCCGGATGATCCTTCATGGGACAGAATTGGTGGGCGACCCAATATCCTCGCACTTCCTTGTATGGCTGATCTTGGTGATCCATGTAGCCATAGAATGGCGGGTTCATGATAATAGAGGAGGGTACATAGGCTGCAAAGGGGTCCACGACGGGCTCCGGTGGTAGCAGCGCAAAAGAAGGGGGGTGTTTCAGTGCCGGTTCCTGCATATACGCTCGGTCGTCGTGTTCATTGGCCGCTGACTCCGATATCTTCGAGCCCGGGTGTTGCCAGTTCGTAGCCCCAGTAACCGTAACTTTCACATAACATGGCACCTCCAATGAAGGATACCCCGGCTTGGAGTAGATTGAGAAATACGACAAAGACTTTGGCTTGCGTGGTATCTTCCAGATCAAATCGAACATTTTGTCTTGTAGCTCCTTTCGGAAAACGCATGTTCGTGAAGCTTGGGCATCCCTTTCATGTTGTCGTCTCTCGGCAAGCAGCTCGGCCTGGGCGCCCTCCTCATCTGCACGGCCCCGTTTCTCTCTCCAGTCGTCCGAGCGGATCTTCGTGTAATAATGGTATTGGATTTGGTTAAGGTTCTTGTCCGTGAAATACGATGCAATATCATGCCACCCAAAGTTGCAATGGTCTCGTAAGTGAGAAATGAGCTCCTCATCCTTGGGTGTGAACGGCAGAAGCTTCCGAGGACGCTTAACATTTTGAGGATAGCGAGATCGGGCCACAAAGTTCAAATCGAATATGCCAAACGGATCGTAGCTATCTGCAACATCCTTCCAGGAATCGCAGTGATCGGGTGGTTCGTAGTCATCAATCGAGTCATCCGCGGCATCGTACTCCAGCTCCTCAGAATCGTAATCGTTCCGCTTTCGTTTCTCTGGACGACTGAATGTCCACACTGAAGGATTCTTCTTCGCCTTCAGTGGTGGCACTGCAAGCTGGCTCTGCTGCATCTGGAGAGCGGCCCTTAGAATTGACTTCTGCTTCTTTTGCCGCTCATCCGATGGAAGTTGGGCAATGAAGTTAGATACTTGGGATACCAGCGTCTTCGCGTAGCGTTGTAAATATGAGCCATCAAGTGGCTTATCTTGAGGGGAATGATGCTGGGTGACAGGACTTGAATACCTCTCTATCGGAGGTGCATCTTTCCAATCCACAGGCCCTTGGATCACGTCGCTGTTTGGCTCGTCTAATGCTGGATCGAGAGGGATCGTATTCGACGCTTCGGCGGATTGGGAGGGCCACAATTCGAAATGGTCAACGTCGGCACTGTCGTTCGGAGGTGTATCTTGGCCAGGAGCGCCGGTTTGTATTCGTGTCTGCCTCAATATCGCTTCGACCGAGTGAGCGTATGCTTCGGCCGCAGCGTTTCCCTCGTCGCCAACATCCTGAAAGCGAAATGTCAGTGAAAGCGTGCAGTTGACGGATGTAGATCTCCCCACCGTCCTCAAATCCTCCCCGTTCTCATCCACCAGCTCATCTACCAGCTCATATTCGCTACTCTCCTCTTCATCGCCACTGTCGTCTTCACCGCCAGTGTCGATTTCATCCTCCCGAAATTGTTCTGCAAAACTTCTTAGAAATGCAACAGCATCGTCTTCCTCATCTGCAGCGCCCACGTCGTTCTCATCTCGCATGTGGGAGAGGTGGCCATTGTCGACGACAATCTGGCCAGTCCGTAGGTCAATCTCATCGCCGACTGCACTAAAGTCCCGGGAATATTTAAGAATAATGGACTCGAATGCAGACTTGAGTCGGTGATCGTTCCGGCGCCGGTCATGCTCGAGGTTGTCAGTACCTGTTTCGTCCGGATCTTGAGACGTTCGGCGCCTCTTCAATGGCCTCTCCATCGCCTCAAAATGCGGATTGAAGGTGAAGGTGGGGCGGGAGCATCGAAGGGGATGTTTAGGGTGGTGTTTAGTTGGTGTTTAGACTGGAGGGAGTGAGGTCTGGAGGTGGAAGCGGAACGCGTTCATGGATTCACTGGTCGCGACTGCTAAATGGAGTGACACCCCTGCATGTACCCAACCCCACGCCACGTGACATGGACGTGTTTACAAGTACATCCTGCGGCCTTATCGCCTCGAAATATATTAAGGCATGAACCCAACCTCGTGCTCACTGCTCAACAGCGTAACACAAATCCCTGCAGTCCATGTCTACTACATATTAGTACACCTTCTGATCCGTGTGAGATGAAGGCAACACTGAATCCATCACCTGCTGGCCGAGCAAATAATTAACACTTGAACACTCACAGTGAGGAAATGGGCAGGATTCACAAACCCAAAGTAATGCCTTCTTGATGATATGATATGGATTTGCCCCATTTCTCAATGAAGCCCAGCAGCTGATGATGATATCCCATTTCCCTCTCTAATATTGCCTTTTGCCGGCGACAAATTCTTTATTAGAGGTCATTTATGATTTACCATCTGAACCGACCAATAACTTTGTGAACTGCTTGTCTCAAGCATCATGTATTGCCAAAAGTGCCGCTGTCCACTTAGGCCGGATGACACGTTGGCAAACCTAAATCCAGCGTCGTTCAAGCTACTTGCCGGTACGCTCCGCATACGTCTTACACGGAGACATACTGACCATGAGATAGAGGCAAGCGGAGAGCTAACGACCTCGACAACCGCCGGCCCCGCAACTGGTACTGGGGCGGGCATCACGCTAGATCGCCATGAGCACTACGTCAAGGCCTCAAAGGATGCAAGAACGCCGGCTTTCAAAAGAGCAGTGACGTCGAAGCCAAGCTATGGAGGATCCCAAAATCTACCAGGGATGGCAAGGAATAATCCCGCAATGTCTTTCGTTATGCTATCCGACTCTCAGGTGGCGCCTCCTGCGGATGTCAGTGATATGGGAAGATCTCCTAGGGGTCCCACAAGACGTCCAGTCGATCCGGCGGCGGATCAAGCTCACTTACTCTCAAGCCAAATGAGCACAACCGATCGGTTATTTGAGATTCTTTCGGCACGCTCCGACATCGATCACCCGATTTGCGTAGAATGTACCGAAGTGCTCATTGAAGGCTTGCAGCAAAAGTTGGCGACCGCAACGAAGGAGCGGGACGCCTACGTCGATTTTTTACGACAGGCCAACGCCGATGTCCCATCGGAAGAGGAGCAAAGGCAGGCTCACGCAGAGTTGAAAGCTGCTCAAGACCGAGAAGAGGCGGCCTTCACGGAATTGGAGGGGTTGGAGCACAAGAAAGCAGAACTCGATGAAAAAATCCTCGCATTGGAACTAGAGGGACAGGAGCTAGATCTCGAAGAGCACGAATTCTGGGCTGAGAGAAACGCATTCGCCGATAAACTGTCAGCGTTCCAAAACGAAAAGGATCGAATCAACAATAAACTTGATCACGATACCAAGCAGCTTCACAAGCTGCAACGGACCAGCGTATACAACGACACGTTTTGCATCGGCCACGATGGCTATTTCGGCACTATCAACGGTTTACGCCTCGGACGCCTTCCTGACAAATCCGTCGAATGGCCGGAGATCAACGCTGCCTGGGGTCAGACTTGCTTATTGCTTGTCACGGTTGCAGAGCGGCTTGGCTACTCGTTTAAAGGATATCGCATCTGTCCCATGGGATCCCATTCCATCATCGAGCGCATCGAATATCCTCAAACGCGGTCAAACGCCGAACAATCGCACGCATCGAAGCCGAAGGTCACCCACCTCGATCTCTTCTGCACCGGAGATGCTCCATTAGGTCTGACGCTCTTCCATCGACGGTTCGACACTGCCATGGTTGCCTTTTTGGAATGCTTACGGCAACTGGGCGATTTCGTGGAGAGCGGTCAAGCACGACGACCGTCTGGCAGTTCCGTTCAGGCCATGAAGCTGCCGTACAAGATCGAGAAGGACCGGATCAATGACGCAAGCATCAAACTGGGGGGGTTCAATCAAGAGGAGTCGTGGACAAAAGCGTGCAAGTTCACGCTAATTTGTTGCAAGTATCTACTAGCTCATGCTAGTCAGATGTCAACTCAGCCCGTATGATGGATAGGAACCAACGATATTGGTTCTTCCGTACGCAAATACACGCATATCACGTGATATATAACCACATGTCATTCACTGTTGATCGGGTTTCATATCTGCGTGCACGGCTAATACCGTATCTACCAGAGAATCCGGTGTTGGAGAAAGGGAGGATGGCTGTGCGCCTATCCGTGTTGCTCTGAAAAGGCTCGGGGCGAGCCATAGGACCCTGCATGGTGCATTAGTGCCTAATATCTGTACGGCATGGATATCCGCTTTCAGGAGCTCTATGAGGCAGAAGGTGATTTGTCGCCTTGTCAGCTATGGATAGACTTCTTCGATACGATTCGTGGACTGCTCCACAGTACCTCCATGTGCAGAATGCTGTTAGGTCCGGAGGGTTAATTCAAGGCCTGCTTCTCCAAAATGTTAGTATCATGCCAACTGCCTTTAGGTAGGAGTGTCGGCACTGTTGGCTAAGATGTTAAATTCTCTGTCGCCCAAACTAGCCTATCTTACGGATCTCATCAGCGCCAAAATTGCTGGAAACAATATCTTGATGAAACATTTGAATTTATTGACAGCGGAAGAGTAATGAGATGAACAGTTACCGGTTCGAGATGAACGGCATTCAGAACAGACGACCACCCTCCATCAGCACTTTACGATGATGCTGCTTGCCAGGATGGCCGTCACGATTTCATGCAGCCCACCCAGCCCGAGATACCACGAATCAGACACTCCGAGAATGCTCAGTGGTTACTTCAATGCAATGACAGTTCCGTATATCGCTTGTCCTTGGCTGATCGCCATTGGGGGAGAGGAGCGGCGTTCTCGCTCATCTCAACGTTCGGAGGCTGGCTCTGAGTTATCTATCGTCCATGGTTCACATACTTAACAACCTATTCAGCCGTCGTCACAATCCATGAGATGGACCCTCCGGCTATTCTTCTTTCTGGACACGAATACAACTCGACTACTAGTTCAGGACCTTGCTACCGGCACACCAGATGGCCAGTTCAACTCCACAAACCCAGACGATGGGTCTCGCGCCTTTGAGTAGTCAAGGGAGTCACCCCTTCCCCGACTTCTCTGCGGCGCGTAGAGAAGCTGCATTTTTCATGGTGAATACTCCTCCAGAAGCCATTTTCCCCTCGCGGATGGAGGCCGTCCTTGAAATTGTGCTTCGCAAAAGTGACGAACATCTCCACGCGGAGCGCGAACTGCGAAGGCTAGAACGGCAGCCGACAGACAGGCATGAAATGGATGTCAGACAAAAGCAAATGGAAGTGGAAAGTCGCCTTGCAGTATATTGTATGACCTCTTTCTCCTCATCTTGACACTGTTTGGTCTGATATTGGCAGTGGACTGGCTCCATCGAGCAAAACGAATCATGGAGATGCCGCAACCCCTTAGCCTCGATCATCGAGAGCTGCAAAATAACATATTTAAGTCTGTCGAAGGGCAGCAATACATGCGATGGCAATCTCAAGATGGATGGGGGTCTCCCGACGATCGAACCGGCCACCGGCAAGACCTCGTCACGATTCAAGGGAGGTCCCGAGAAAGTATATGGGCCAACTTGGCTGTTGGTCCGTTCCTCAGATGGTTCAACCGACTCCTCGGACGCAGAGACGTTCCGTATGATGAGAATGCTGTGCTTTTGGTCAGTGAGCGGGTTGCTGTTGTGCTTGGAGGCATCTGCCTGACCGGCTCAATCACCGTGCTGTACAATCTTGACTCAATGTGGTTCCGACTCTGGTGTATCAACGTTTTCACAGTGATATTCGCCGCCGTCTTGTGCATTATCTCTTCGGAACCGGCAAGCAAGACATTCGTTGGACTCTGCGGGTACGTGAAAGGCCATCCTTTTCTCCCCTGATTTCCGTGCGGTTTGTCTCAACAAGGCTGACTTCTCCAACTCTTACTAGATTTGCGGCTGTACAAGTCGTCTTTATCAGTGGCATTGAGGACACATCATCCTAAGCCAGTCTCGGCTCGAGCGGAATTATTATTCCTAATGTTGCCGTCCGCGGAATGGGTTTCCCGCGGACCTAGGGGCTCTTTGTGCTTTTCTGATCTCTCTTTCGACATAAAAACTAGCGGCTGCCCCCGGACGGCACTTTTAGACGACATGAACGTCATCTCTCTGGAAACCTGCCGCAAATTCCCTAGATTAGCAATATTTTCTTTTGTTCGAGCTCATGAACCTACCAATGAACATTTTATTTCAGTCTAGGATGCTACATCTATGTCCGGACATGCTCGGAGCATTCTTGAATACTCATTTCAAATGTGTACGACCCCGGACACGCTATGGGCAGCAGAGCCTCAACTCGTGGACAACAATGGCGTATCTCCGGCGTAGCAAACATGATGACACGACCTTACTGTCATTCCTATTCAGGATTTTGGCTCCAGGGGCAATTAATAACTCCTACACTGGCCTCCTCGTTTTAGATGACATTCTCTACAACGGTGTGGAAGTACCACAGGTTCAGCCTCGACGTACCTCGAAGTCCATCTCGTGGGTCACAAACTATTATTAGTGGAAGCGAAACGGAAGTGGCATCCTATATTTTTGGGACCCAAGAAGAGGAGGGTTGGTCGGTGAAGCATTTGTACTCTCTCCGTACCCGAACGCATCCCATAACCATACCTGGTCGCTCATGGAACGATCTGCCTGGAACAACCACGAAATACAACGGCCTGGTCCTCAGGGGTATATTTCGGGTGTGACGGAGGAACCGTGCGAATGGGACACAAGTAGCTAGTGGCTCTCGTGGCCGAATCGCCATCTAAATACATCCAACGTTCTTCCGTTGGGATTAGAGTGCTCGATACCGCTTAGAATCGCCGGTCAAGCCAATTCCTTGGTTCCACAATGTTTCGTTGTTCTGCTTTTTTGTCTACGTCTCCGAAAGCAACGACGCTATCGAGTGATGTAACGTGTAGTTCGATGCTAGTCGCGGTGGGCTAGACTCTGATCTGGTCTATACGACGTCAGTGCGATGGCTCTTCTGCCGTTGAGACTGCTTCATGACCCATACTAGTCACTGGATTCCTTGTCTAACCAGTCGGATCAGTCCCGACTAGGAACAATGAAAGTCAGTATGCCGGATACCAACACTGAACACGATGATGCGATGCTGAACAACGCTCGATTCCAGACAATGGTGGACTCGAGAGTGCCTCCTCAATGCGTGTTGGGGTTGTCGGTGATCAGCGGGGAATCCTTTCATGTTGTGTTGTACCTAACCACTAGTCAGTAATCACCGACTTTCTGTGTCGAGAGGAAGCTCACTGGCTATCACATCGGTGCACTGGATCCTATAAGTATGAGTAATAGCCCCCCTTTTTTTCCTTTGTCTTTGATATACGGCATACTTCCCCCCCCTTTGAACGATTGACAGCACGATCTTGTCCCTTGATTAATGGCCAGGCAACGAGGCTGTGTCTATTTCACTCTCATAAATGGCTGGTACCCAGGAGAATGGGGCTCCCTCGCCCACTGCAAACCGCAGCAAGTCTGATGACTATGCACCGAATAAGCCAAAGAAGGCTCTCAACCCCTCGTGTCTTGGGGAATCTGATTCTGAAGATACCAAGCCTTGCCGACCCAAGCTCCCTATCAAGGCGGCTCATAATACGGTATGTGGACTCCGGCATGCCGACAACATTCCAGAGTTCTAATGCTTGGAAGCGGTCCAACTAGGACATATTAATGGGCTCCGAAATGATCAGTAAATGGAACGGTATCTAAGTGGGCGTCTCCCCTGAAGCCATGTCATGGTAGAGTCTACTAGGAACCTTGCCTGGACACTGAAGCTGGATCCAAACCCGGGAACCCTTCTAGTCTTGCGAGAACTCAGGGGATAGCGGAGAAGGAGGCGGTGCTAAATAAAAGCGCTTACATCTGTTACACCGTGGAGGTCATCTCCTGCGGCCTTCCGTATCCCATTCTTTCGGGTCTCGGACCGATATTGGCAGCACCACATCACTTATAGCGTTAAGACCTTTTACATAGGCCGTTTCACTGCATCCCTATATCCAATGTGAACTCACTAATGTGGACTGATGCTCCCGAGACCAGCTGTATATTAGGCCGTGAAGTAGCTCATAGAGCAAGGCGATGCCGACTACCTTCCAACGGCCTCCACCCCTGAAGGAGGGCGACACATGATAACAGAACACTCTTCTTCCATCTCCTCCCATGTTTCCCACCTGGTACTGAGGATGTCCAATGATCTTTTGTTGTCGATAGTTCTTGCCAATTATGATTCTATGTTGTGTCCCTGAAGTCTGATGAATTCACCCTTCTGTAGCGAGGTACAGTGAATTACCAGTGGCACTATATATATCTTCAACAGTGAGATTTATCACTAGCGAGGCGCCATGGCTGTGGGATGGAGGGAGGCCGTCTCCCTGGTAATAATGATCAGTTTCATCGGTTGGAAGCCCGGCCACTCCGGTCGAGGCTACAGTATTTGGATCATGTTCCGGCCGCCTCTGGTAACGATGGTCTGTAGGGAAAAAACGGCTATTACACTACCGGGCTGTTTTTGTAGCGTTTCCGCATATGCGGGGCGTGAGTATTTTGCTCTTTTTACTTTTTGATTGAACGTTGAAAGTAGTCAGAGGACTTTCTCTCTACTGACTCCATATTAGGATCTCGTGTCACCGATCACGACAGTAGATCCGCAAGGTCAACCACTTCTAAGTTCCCTGGTTTAACTGACCTAGTGATTTTTGATGCGTCTGGCGCAGTGTTTGATCTCATCAGATAAAGCCATGATATTTGACTCAGGCCCGACGTGGAGAGGATGACCGAGGAACCATCAAGTTCACTGATGTTATGAATTAGATTGCACTTAGCGGCTAGGTGATCTATTATAGCCAAACGAGACGCCAAACTTCGAACATCCAAAAGATACCTGGTCACAGTTCGCCTTCTTGTGTAGCCGGCTATCGGCCTGGTTCACGTCAACCAGTATTAGCTTCGCCAAACAGTGCCTCGCCCGAGTTGACAACGTATCCAATCGATTATATGCATCCATGACCCGAGGTCAACCAAATGTTTGCCCACCAATATAAATGTGTGGATATCGTCATCCAATGATCAAAGCAGCGCCAAGGAAACGATGCTCACAGCCGTCGCCAACATCACCATCGCAGCGGGCGACTCCCTCCGCAATGCCCCGGACTCGACCGACACCGGATCTAGCACAAACGGTGGATCATACTCTGCAGGAGTCGACGCATTCACAGTGCCGTCCCAGCAATACTTGGAAAAGCACTCGTTACACGCCTCCGGGATGGGAGTCTTCGTCCGCTCCCAGCTGCGGTGCAGCATGGCGCAGCCGACGCACACCGGCCATTGTGGATCGCGGGTGGCGTTGCCCATGGTGGCGACGTCCCAGCCGTTCTGGATGATGGCGTTGCGGTCGGTGTTGTTGATCTCGAAGGTGAAGGTGGTGATATTGGATGAGAAGACGTAGGGGTAGTTGGGGATGTAGACGATGAGCGGGGAAGGCCCGGTGGTGTTCGCGCTGTCGCACCCAAAGAACGTCGGCCGGGTGTTCAGGCCCAGGTTGACGAAGGTGACGTTGTCTGGGACAGCGGGGAAGGAGGTACCGGCGGCGATGTCTTCCTGGCTGCGTGCGTAGGTCGCGGCGGGGGAGGCGCCGTTCGGCCAGGAGTATTCCGTGTCGGCGGAGGAGTCGAAGCTGAAGATGACGTCGACGGCACGGGAGTTCTGGATGAGCGGATGGTAGGGAATGTTTTGGAGGTCCTCGCCGCCGTCGACAAGAGTCAGTCGCCTGCTGGAGGCGGAGAGATTGGTTTCGTTCTTGAAATTGTAGAAGGGGTTGGGGGTCCAGTCTGCGATATCATTCTCGTCGTCACCGATGTGGTTGAGGACGCTCTCCGCGAGGTTGACGAGAACCTTAGGGAAGCTGGCGGAGACGGTGTTGATCTGGAGGATGAACTGGTTGAAGAGGGAGGAAGATGTCCCCATCACAAACCCGGCGTTATCAAAACCCTCGACACATTTCTCGTCTTTAGGAAGAAATCCTCCCGAGAAGTTCGAGCCGACGTATTTCAGAGGCACGAACCCTTGGAGGCCGGAATCAAATGACCCAAGTTCCCAAGGATTGAACTCGAAGATGGTGGTGTTGACGGGAATCAGCTTTTCGCCAGGAGATCGTCCGTCCGCCACGATCAGCGGCAGAGGCGCATTTCCAGACGAAAAGTCCTTGTCCTCTGCAATGGACGAGAAGGTGACGCCAATACCGCCATCTGGAGCATCAATGAGCTGGTAAGACAGCATCCGACCCCAGAAATCCGTAATGGAGATATTGTATCCAGCGCTCTCCTTTTCGTCGATAGCCGAATATACGTCACTGGCGTACGACACGATATTGATATCGCTCGGTCCTAGAGCAGCATGAGCGATCCATCTCCCAAAGAAACCTCCGTCCAATCTCACCTTCCGCAATCGATGCATTCAATTGCCAAACCTTCGAATTCGGCGCGATCGACTTCTCCACCGTGGTGAAGTTATTCGAATACAAACTCCCCACCAACCATCCACCCCCGGACAACGCTGACAAATACGTCGCGCTCTGCAGCAGCCCGCCCAACTGCCCCTCCCCCGTCGCCCCCGTCGTCCGACTATCCCACGCAGCCAGCATCCCGGCGCCGCACAGCATCGCACGATATCCGCCGCCGGACGCGGCTATCCCGATGTTCGGCAGCGCGGTCGCATCGGTGCCGACGTTGGCGAGGTAGGCTTCCGAGTCGAAGCCGGGGATGGCGACGCGACGCAGCAGGTCGCGGATGGCGGGCACGGTGGCATTGCGGCGGAGGGGGAGCCAGTCCTTTTCGGCCTGGGAGAGGCCGTCGGCGTTACGGATTTCGGGGCGGTTGGGCGGGCAGTCGACTTCGGTGGGGACGTAGCCGTTGGGGGCATTGGAGAGGGCTCGTTCGACCAGAGGGTTTGCTTGTGAAGGGTTAGGATAGAGAACGACAACGGCATGTGGATGTCGTGGATTGGATGCTTCAGTACTTACACGTGCCAGCAACGCCCTGGGATATTAAGGTCCAGGATAACAGCAGACCTGACAAGCCGTAGAAATACATCTTGACGTACTAGACCTCCGCGCAAAGATGCTTCCTTCCTTTGTTTACAAGTCAAGGAATGGATTGAAGCGAAATAGATTGAAACAGTCAAATGCAGTGGCAGAGCTGACGTCGCTCTCCGTCCTGTACTCTATCCAAGCAACGGTCCACAATCCACAGCTGTTTCACAGATCGGGGCTATTAAGGGGTGCTACGTACGCATATTTTGGTGCGCGATGCGGATGGCGCCGCCTCGTCCCGAATGACACACGTTTTTTCTCCCCGAGTAAGCACTTCATCTCTTTTCTCGACTGAAAGGGTTACAAGCGATAATTAGTGCGCCTTAAGCATTCCTAAGTCCTAACTACGTATAGTAATAATATTCCTAAGTGGTGGTCCCGCGGATGTACGGATCGGATTCAGGGGATCACCCTGGACCCATGAACCAACCCCATGTTCGGATTTCAGCCTCAGACGCCAAATGCTTGAATAGCAAGCTTAAGTAAGATTATAATTAGATGCAGGTCAGATGAGGCGCGGATCGGTGCATGGAGCTGAAAAGATAGTAATATCAACTGGTATCAGATCACGCAAGCCGAAGAAACTTGATCAATTCATCCCGTGTGAGCAGTCCAGTATTGACGAATCTAGAGTATTCCTAACCTAGCCGAAGCGAGTATATCCTGCATCCGAAATTCAAGCACTTTGAAGATCGAGCATCGAAGTCCGTAAGTCATATCGTCCGCAACCTCCAGACAACCCGAAATAGAAGACCGGCTTGGAGCATCGAAAGGGAATAATGGAAATCCGGCTTAAAAATGCTTCTACTTTGACCATCATGCGATTTGCCCCCTTGCATCCCTCCCCGTTCGACACGGGAAGCAACAGTCTTGAGCCATCCCGTCAATCCTGCCTCTTCCCATGATCCGTCTCCGGCTCCACCGCAGTATAGCTCCGACTCAACGGCTGCTGCTCATGCCCCCTCCCCTCCTCACTCGTCCGAATCGCCCCGGCACCCACATACCCCGTCCGCGGATCCATCCGCTCCCTCTCCACCGCCTCCGGAATATCCGCCATCCCCGCCTCCATCAACTCCACCTCCTCCCCATCGCGCCCCCTCCGCCCAAAGAACCGATTCCGATGGCTCGGCCTTGCCCGCATCTCCGACGACTCCGTCGGGATCCGCCTTAGGCTTGTCGACCGCCCCACCGACCCCACGTCGTGCGAGCGGCGTCGGCCCATCTCGTCGCCCGAGCCCGACGGCCGCGACGGCGATGCCGAGGTCACGTTGACGGGGATCTTTATCGGTTGGCGCTCCTCAAACACGTCGCCGGTCCAGTCGCCGCTGGAGACGTCTTTCATGCCGAGGGAGAAGTCGTAGCGCTTGGACATCTCCGAGAGGCTTTCGCCGCGGCGGGTGCGGGTGCGGGAGTAGTCGGGCGCTTGGGAGCTAGCGCGGGAGGCCTTCGACGTGGAGCGGTCGGGGGGATTGGAGGGCTCGGGGACGAAGGGCTCGTCTTGGGGGACTTGTTCGCGGAAGCCGGAGGGGTTGTCAGGGGTGCCGCCTTGGCCGAGATTGGGGTTGGGAACGTGCGGGATGTGTTGCATGTACATCGGGAAGGATTCCTTCTGGCCGGGATACCGCATGCGCGGGCCTTCGATGCAGAGTTCTTGCATAGAGACCATGAGTGCGCAGATGAACTTGTTGCGGCGCTGGAGGCGGAGCAACTCGTTCTGCCAGTTGGACTTGTAGAAGAAGACGACGTTGAGCTTGAGGCTATGCGCTTCGCTGACTTCGCGCAGTTCGGTGAGAATCTTGCCTTGGTATTCGCGCTTTTCCTCCTGTACGAAGTCCAGGAGTCGGGTGCGCAGGTTTTCGATCTGCTCGAGGGTGGTGCCGAATTTGATGACGATCGGCACCGCCTCGGCTTGGCCGCCGGAGCGCCGCTGGTTGAGGATGAAGAGGGTGTTGAGGTAGCTGTTGGGCGCCTGCACGACCATGCCCTCCATCTTCTTGAACTCCGTGTAGAGGAGGGAGATCTTCTTGACGAAGTAGTCGTCGCCCTGGCCTTCCGCACCAGTGTTGCCGTAAACGCGGACGCGGTCGCCCACGTCGAACGGATGCTTGACGAAGACGAAGATGATCGATTGCAGAAATTCCTGCGCGGTGGCGGAGAACAGCCACGACAGAGCCAGGACGGCGGATCCGGCCGAAGTCAGGACACCAGCGGCGCTGGTGGAGATTAGGGAGACGAAGACGAGGATGGTGATGACGAGAACGATGAACAGGAAGACCGAGTCGAGCTTGCTGACAACGGAGTCGAGATCCTTCAGGGATGCCATAATCGACTTCCGTTCACGCCCAATCTCCACACACACCGCCTCGAGCTCTTCCATGCTGATATCGCCGTTCATATCCTTATCGAACATCGCGAACGCCGCCTCCGCCTCTTCCTCAATATCGAACGCGTGTTTGATCTCGTCGGCGCAGATCGTCTCGCATCCGTCGTGGACAAACGTGCGGTACAACCGACGCGCTAAGACCTGGGATCCGGAGGTGGTATGCAACAACGTCAGGATGACCTGCTGCGGATGGTCGGACGAGATGACTTTCTTGCCCGAGAAGTCTCCGGCGATCTTGCCCGCCACGTCGCCGACCTTGTTGAGGACCTCCTTGGCGCCCTTCTGGGCCTTCTCGACAAACACTCCCGGCGTTCGTGCGCCTGTCGCGGGGCCGGACGAACGTTCTTCGAACTCGGAATCCTCCGCCTCGATCTTCCCTCGCGAGTACTCGTAAAGTTTGGTCAGGCTCCCAATCTGGAAATGGTTAAGTTCGATGCGGTCCTGGTAGGTGCGGAGGTGGAAGCTGATGGCGATCAACTGGATGATGATCTTCTCGACAAAATTAAGAATCATGCCGACGAAGATCGCGACGAGCACCTTGTTCATCGTCCGCTCCCAGTCTCGGACCGTCTTATTGCCGTCGATGTGGTGGTTGGCCATGGTCGGGAGGAACGAAATCTCGACCGCGAGCCACCAGAAGAACAGCGTTGCGGAAAATTCCAGCTCCTGGCCCATGTCCCGCCATTTCTTCGCGTTGTTCGTGAACAAGCTTGAGATCATCCCGATCGGATAGGGGAGCCCCTTGGCGAGGATCCGTCCCGCCCACAGGGTCAACCAGACGATCTCCAGCCAGATGCAGAACCACATCAACCGCACTCCCCCGACCGTCGCCTCTTCAAACACGAACACGCCCAGAAGGAGCGGGATCAGGATGATGAGCACGATCGGTGTGATATAGGTGACATACCGCACCAAAAAATTCGACCCATGAATCTTCTTAAACACCTTCGCGAAGTTCGTCGACGGGTTCTCTGGCGGCCGAAATACATTCCCCTGATGCACCGGATTCGTACTCACATCGAACTCATCCATCGGCTCCTCCCGCTTACTCCGGCTGCGGTTCATGCTCTTCCCCCGCCCCAGCTCCGCCTGCGCCTTCTCGTCCTGGCTAACCTGCCGCTCCACCTGCAGCAGCGCGAGGTCGTCATCCAGCCGTGTCGCGTAGTCGCGCACCTGGCTAGGCGACTTCATCGACGGCATCCGAGAGAACTCCCGTGGGTCGGCGGTATGTACGGTGAGGTAGGAGGCGCTGCGTCCGCGAGTGGGGGAGGGCTGGAACGGTACGGAGCCGTCGCCTACGGCAGTGTTGTCATCTTCGTCGGCGGGTCGAGGGATGTGGGAGCTGGAGGGGGGGACGGGAGGGTTGACATTTGTATTGATGGGGTCGAGCCTTTGATTGCTTGGGGTGGACATGGTGGAGGGGAACGAGGACTATGCCTCTATTCCGCGCGGGTTTGGGAACCGGAAATGAGGGGAATCTGATATTCGCCCGCGGAGGTGCACGACAATCCCGAAGGCATCAACTCGAAACGTGCCGGTGTTGAAAAAGCAGGACTTCTGGATTGTAGGATCAAATGATAGCCCGGAACCTTCAATGGAACTGAATTGGTGTCGAATTGGTGTCGAGTTGTCGTAGACGCGATAGAGGAGTGGTAACACGATCGAGCACGGTGTGATGCAATTAAGGAAACGAGTGAAACGACAAACGGTGATTGACGCTGCAGAGGAGCTGAAGAAACGAGAGACAAGTCGATAATATTATAGCGACCGGAAATATGACAGCCAGCAGTTCAGAATGTCTGATTACCTAGCAAGAGAACGAGACACCTGGAAATGTCAAAATTCCTGTCGATCGGCCGACGGAGGGTCTTAGGCCTTGGGAGGCGACGACATTTTCAACTATTTTTCAGGTCCCGAAGAACCCGGTTCACGGATCTAATGACCCAATAGCCCAATTAGTTATTAGCATGTTGTTTATTCTAGTGGGCATGACGCAGCGGTTGCAGGAAAGTTGTGCAGACCAGTGGAAATGTTGAATTAATCTTAAGTTCGGAACGATACCCAAGAGTCCAAGCCAATGCCTGAGTGCCAGAAACCTTAATGGCGGCACGGCAGCAGCTGCGCATATTACTGCATAGGAACTTAGGAAGAGCTAGGAACGCCCCAACCGTTGAACCACCCAACGGTTGTGCTGTTTCACGGGAAACTCGAACTTCCGATTGCTACTAAGCCTCTACCAATCCTGCCATTTGCGATTTGTTCAGACTCTAGTATCCCCTATGCAGTATGCACAATGCATTGTCCTTGGAAGTGGATAAAAACAGGGTCGCTGACGTGAATATGGGGTCCGCTAATCACCTGAATTCTCGCCACCCCCCCTCATTGCGAAAGATCTGGATTGAATCTCCATCCCGTCTCCACCGTATGGCAGATTAGCAGGTAATCACTAATACCACGATTCGAGTTGCCATTTTGGTATGCCACGGCGTTCTGTTGGGAGACACAACATTGTTGACGGTGTCTATGGACGGGTTGGGCCGTGGTTCAGGGCGGAGAATCGGAGATATCCATCGTTGTATCATTGACTGGACCCGGAATTCGGAAACCTATCAAAAAATCGCTCAATTGATGCATCAATCATGTGAAGTGCTCTCCATTGCTCCATCCATCACCAACTCCGATCATCCCAGCAGCCAAACATCGCCAATCCAATCAAAACCCCAACATCTCATTCTAGAAATCACCGTCTTGCCCTCAACACCCGTCCCCCACTCGTCCCAGTAGTAGGCGCAGCAGCAGCCACTTCCCCCCTCTTCCCCGTCCCCTTCCTCCCCC